TAATAAGCATGGGACCCATGATTCATTACTGAGTACCATAAAAACAACAAAAATGCACAAATTTATCCAAGCTGATAGCTAGCAATATATTTTGCTACATATAAGATACCACTCTGCCAGACACCTAAATGTTCTCTTCTTTTCCCTATCACTTCTTCTACCTATATTCTTCTTCATTTTAAGTTTACTTTTAAGAAATTAGTACTAAGGGTTTTAACTTAGGGCCCTTCACTTTCAACTCAGGCATTTTATCACTAAGCCATAACTTTTGGGAGCTAATTTTTTTTCAGATAAGGACTTGTTTTTTCTCATGCCTAAGCCTGGATCATGATGCTACTTTATGCTCCCTGCAGTAGCTGGTATGTTAGGCACTCACTCCTTCTGCTGAAATGAAGTCTCAACAACTTTTGCCCAGGCTGCCCTAGAAGTGCAATTCTCCTGTAAGGATTACAGGTATGAGCCACTGTAAGTTTGGATCTTTATTCTTAGAGGAAAGTTTCTAAAATGACCATCCTTGAATGGGCTCAAAGATTTAAGTTTCAAGGACCTTTAAACTTCTTCAATTTACCAAGTCATAACCAAAGCTATACGGAAACATCTCCATCAACATGGTTTCTGGGAGAGGGAGTTAAAACAGTTTTATACTCAGCACTGCAAAGAACAATAGAAACAAAAAGTAAAGCCATACAACAATTTTTTTGCAGTGCGTAACCAATGATATTACCAAGTGATGGGTTTGTTTTTTTTTCCCTTCCATAAAGCCTAGATGATAGAGTACTGATCAGTTTCATTTTCCTATTAGGCCTCCTTAAGCAGCCCAAGTATTTGCATAACCTTAATGAAAATGGTCAAAACCTTAGTGAAGAAAAGCAGTAAAAAAGAATTAATCATCTTATCTCTCATCCACATTAGTAGTACCTGAAATGAGAAATATTATATTTTATTCAGTGCATACTAACTAGAAGATATGGCTAGATTTCTTAACACAAACAATATAAAGAATCTTTTGAATTTCAACAGGCCTATCAAAAAGTCATTATTAGTTGGCTATGTAAGGAAATGAAGACTTGGAAAATATCATATTAAGTTAAGCCAGTCTCAAAGAAACATAAGACTCCACGGTTTCCCTCATTTGTAATAATTACTATGTATCTAGGATTGTCGTAGCAGAGGATCACAATAGCTCAATAGCTATGTATGTATGACCACATAAAATGATGCTAATCAAAATGAACTCCCAGACATGGAAACAAAAGGTTTTTCATTTGTTTTTGTTTTGTTTTAATGTACTGAATGAAGTTCTTTCTTTTTCCTTTCATTTTTTTCCCTTTGGTTTATATCCAGTTGTCAGTTTTTGATTTTGGAACTCTGTGTCTTGTATATTTGTTTATTTGATTTGGGGAAGGGAAGGACAATAATAACAAAATGGTGAAACAAAGGACAAAGGGTGAACCAATGCAACAGTAATACTCACAAGACACTACGTGGGAAATGAACTTTACAATTGGGAGGAGGAGGGCATGGAAAGTGGGAGAAAATGAGGGAGGAGGTAACACTGGTAAGAAATGTACTCATTACCTCACTTATGTAACCTGTAACCTCTATACATCACCTTTACAATAAAATTAAATAAAAAACCAAAGAAACAAAAAATACATTCAAAAAGAGACTCAGAGAAGTTCAATAACTTTTCCAAGGAGTCAGAAAGCAACTCAGTGCAAAATGGGACTTAGCTTACTATGCCTTCTCTTGACATTTTTCCTTACTATGCTAATTAAAACAGTGAACGGCAAACATCAGATTACTATTCTTTCTGCAAGCCTTCGATACTACCATTGATATGAGTCATATGGTTCTAGATCAACAATTAGTTCAAATTCTAATTTTTCTAGTTGCCACATTATATCTTATATGCTTCAGAAGTATGGTTGAATTATAGTTATTTTGAATTTCATATTTCTCTCTCACTTTTCATATTCATTCATCCACTAGGTTTATCACACTGTTTGGCTTTGTATATGACATATTCATTTAAATGGTTAAGGTTTTAAGAAATAAGCTTTTTTGTTCACTGAAAATTATTTTTAAAATGTTATGTTTTAATAAACTCCCAATTTTCTGTAGGAAGTAATCCTTCAAAAGCCTGATCCTAATTAAAATGTAAGATGTCTTTTTTTACTCAGACATCCATGTGTTTGTGTAAATGATCAAGAAATTAAATTATTAGAACACGTAAAAACAAAATTCCCATTAATTTGGTATCTCTTTAAAATGACAAAGTTTACAATTCATGGGCACAAATCCTCACACTGAAACATATTTTAAAATGAACTGAACTTAAATTGTCTGATTTCATATATATGGAAGTATCTGAATCATTTATGTATGATAGGTAAATGCACCAGTAGTTAAAATTATATTGTTTTAAATTACAACCTCATTTTATGTTTCTAAGTTTTATAGAGTTTTATGTACTGTAAAATCATCTATATTAAACTTTGACAGGTTTATATGGTTAACAGAGATGTGTATCTGGGCAATCTACTCAAACTAGAAACCATGGAAGTAATTTTTCAAATCATTTCTTCATTACTTCTTTTTGACAATTTCCAGGAACACTACTTATCATTTATGATTAAAAATACCTTAAAACAATTTTACTAACAAACCTCTTTTAAATTTTGATAATACTCTAATATTCACTTCAAATTTCATTCACAAAGAAAATATGCTCAAGCCATCAAATTTAAAACAGACTTAGCTATGCCATGAGTTTATTATTTTATTTACATTTACTTTATTTACATTCCTTTTTATTTTTTAATCTAAAACAGAGATCAAGGCCCCAAAAACTTTTTCTGTAAAATGGTAGAGATTAAATGTTTAGGGGAGGAGAACTGTAAGGTTTTTGTTGCAGCTAGAGCACAAAAGCAACTACAGACAATACAGAAAGGGTATGGCTAGATTTAGCTGCCACTCTACAGGATTTGGCTCAAGAAGTATTACGTTGATCTTTGAGTTAAATCCTGGGGAAATCATAAAAATTTGGGCTACTACAGTCATCCAACATATTTTAATACTCTGCCTGCCAGAATAAATCATTCACAGCTATGCTGAGTTTAGAACTGCTTCAGCATTGAGAACAGCCCTCATCTTTCCCTGGACAGTGCTAAATATCATAGTTTACTAAAATTAGACTCAACTTGCTTCACAAGTTTCTTAAATATATCACCAGACAAGAAATAATCCACTGCAATTGTTGCCAGGACTTCTAAAGTATCTAAACCAATACAGTATATAAAGAAATGTAGCATGGGGACATAATAATGTATAGGACAATAAACATCAATGAAAGTCTATTAAGTGGGAATTAAGGACTGCTATGAGGTTTTGATTTGGTTTTTTTTTTTAAAGGAGAAATTGCTAGACTTTCTCTCATTTTTTCTTCCTGTCTTACTACAAATTAGGTTCCTAGAAACTGAAGCAACCATTAGAAAAAGGGGAATTGTAAAGATGACAGCTCTTAAAACTAAAATCCACCAAAATCAATAACCAAGGACTATTTCCAGAGTTCTTACTATGTGAGAAAAAAATAAAGGCCTTCTAGAATTTTGCTTAAAAACATTCAGAGATTCTTAATCTACCATTTCTTCAAAGTGCTACAGAGTGTGTTCTGAATTCTGAGTAAGAAGAACACAGGCTGGCCTGAGGGCCAATATCCTAGGGGCAATAAAGTCAAAGTGAGCCAAGAAAATGCCAGAGATGATTATTTAAATTCTTTAAACATACAAGGAAAAACACCTAAAACCTGTAACTGTGGAGTTAACAAGCCTTATTAATGTTCTAATCAGCAAATCAAATCTGAGAACTGCAATACAGTAATTCCTATCACCTTATTTGAAAACTAGAAGTTCAGACTCATTTTTTAAAGGGATGTAGCCCTGTGTTTTCAACCTAATTAATTTTAAGCTTTCATTTTTCTAGTATAGTTTACACCATCATGTCAATATATGACCCTTTTTGTCACCTGTAGATTTTAAAGAATTTATTATAAAGTTAATGTCCAATAAGGACAATGGTTCTTTCAAGCATTCACATACTCACTAGGCTAGCCAGCAGATTCAACTCCCTAACTTTCGGGACAGTAAATTCTAAATCAAAACTAGTGAATAAAACACCCATAGTTAAACTAATTCAGCCCATTAAAAAAAATCATGGAACCTAATAACTTGAAGCAATAGGTGGGATTGGGAGAGATGAGAGAGAATGATGGGTGACATTGATCAAGATGGTCTATACTCATAAATTTACATGTTGAATTAAAACCCCTTTGTACAACTAAAGATAAAAAAAAATTTAGTCACTATTTTAACTCTTATATCCCTTGAAGCACAACTTTTAAGTTGAAGTATCTGTTTTTAATTTACTGTCTTACATTGTACTATTTGAAACACACATACACACACACACTCACACTCAGACCCCTCTGTAGTTTTAAACATCATAGTTTTCTGTTCCATTAGAAAAAGGTAGTTTCATGTATGCTATAGTGTAAACATTTACCAATTATAATATTTACACATTACAAATACAATTTTTAAATTTTTATGATTTCAGAGAATTCCTTGGAACTATCAAAGCTTTGACTAGAAAGAATACCAACTACAAGGAGGTTCAGGCTCAATTACAGTAGTGGAACAGAATTTAATAAGGTTCCAACTCTACATTTTAATGCCCAAATTTCTTATTGTCTTTTTTAGTTGACAAATATGTGCTTCACAGCATAATAACAGCAGCAGAACAGCTGGGTGGCCTTATCAAGCACAAAGGAAGCAACAGCACATGCTGTTAAGTGTCTTTCTGATTGCCTAGAAATGGTAGCACATGCAGATTTATTCCCTGTTATAAATTAGAACAATTATTTCTCTAGAGTTTTATTTTCTTCACAGAAGAGTCAAACTTCCTGCATGTTAAAAAATGAGGACTTTCAAAAAGGATATCTTCCCTTTCTTTGATGATCAGTTCATTCTGTTCTTCTAACTGCCTGATTTTCTTTTCAAATGACTCCTGCTCAGCTTTTAGTCGTTCTTCTGTCACTTCCTTTTCTTCACTTACTCTGAAATACAAAAATGAAGAAAAAAGAAAAGTCTGTCAAAGTAAAAACAAATACAGCTTATAGCTATGATTTTATGAGACAGTTTCTTGCAAAGGTATGCTGAATTTTTTAGAGATTCTGCTTTAGTTTTTAATTTACTCTCATAAACCAGTCTTCCTCACCTTGATAACAAAACACATGTGATTTTTTTAAAAGACCTACACAGGACAGAGTGCTGTATTATAATACAGAAAAGAGAAATGTTCCAACTTAGAATATATAGGTTTAATTTTTTCATTAAAATATTTTATTTGATTTTTATTTTCATTCCATTATTTAGAGCATGTTAATATCAATCTTAAAATATTTTACTATATGCTAGACAATTTCACTTTTGTTTTTTTGTGCCAATCCTGAGACTTGAACTTCAGGGCCTGGGAGCTGTCCCTGAACATATTTGCTCCAGGTTACTGCTCTCCAATTTAAGCCATAACTCCGTGGTTTATTGGCGATAAGAGTCTCATGGACTTTGCTACCTAGGTGTCAATCAAGATCCTCAGATCTCAGCCTCCTGATTAGCAAGGATTACTGGTGTGAGCCACAAGTGTCCAGTGAGTTCTTCCCCCCTCCTCTCTCTCTCTCTCTCTCTCTCTCTCACTCACACATACACACACACACACATACACACACACACACACGAAATATACCTACACACACACACACACACACACACACATATAAAAGGTTGAAATGGGAAGTTTTTTTAACTTGATTAATTGAAAAAGTAAAGCCTAGCTTTCCTATTGTGTACTGCTATATACATTTAATTAAAACAAAAAGTTATAATTAAAAAATAAAAGGAATAAATATAAAATAACAATCTACTTGCTTTTACAACAAGAAACTAATGGCACAACATTTTCTATTTTTCTTCTGAGAAATACCAAGTTGAAACAGCAAAATGTCCTCTGGAAAAAATGACAGTATCTGGGCCTACAAATTTAAATGAGTTATTGCACAAGTATTCTCTGGGGAATGATGCATTCTTTGATAGTAGGGGCATAGGGCATCAAACAGTAGAGGATTTTGTTCAGGCTTCTTAAAACAAAGGAGGAGGCAACAATGATTGCTAGAAATGGACTCATTACCTTGATCATGTAATTGTACTCCCTCTGTATAGTATTTTTACAATAAAAAAATTTAAAAAAACCACAGCTCTATACATCAAACATGGCAACTGTTGCTAAGATTATTTTAAAATGGTAAAACTTGTTTTCCTTTAAAGATCAAGTCTGCACTATAGTCTATATATTAGCCAAAGGTACCCCTGTCCATTTTCAAAGTTTCAGTGAAATACACAAATGCATATATACAGAACTGTCACAGTCTTTCTGTACAAATTAATATTTCACAAGCCATTCATTTTTCCAATCCACATAAATTACACTGCTTTTCCCATCTATATGAATAACTCATTAATTTTATTGCATAAGATTTTGTGAGGTCACTTAATAAAGCAACTTCAAAAAGAATTTTCTTCTCCTAGTACCTCCTAGAAAGATCAATCAGTATCCCTCTTAGCCTTGCAAATGTAAATCAATGCCTAACACCTTAGGGAAACAACCTCATTTACTTGAATCTTATCTGTTATCATTCCCTTCAACAAATTAAATAATTCACACTTCTACTAATTCATCTTTATGGTATCTGTTCTCCATTAGTCTGTAAAGTTTATTTGATTGGTATACTATTCTTTCATTAGTATAGTAAACCCAAGTGAAAAACTTCACTGGGAATATACAGATTTTTAAGAAGGCCTTCAAAGACTAACTCATATATAAAATTTTTAAATCTGTATGTTTTCTTGTCTACTAGCACAACTTTCACTGGCTAACATTCAGAAAAGTTAACTATGAATGAGAGATGTTTTTAATTTTTTTATCTACTTGGTCTAATCAATAAGTCTTTCTCTTTCTAATTTTCCCTCAAATAATAAGTCTATTTGCTTAAGAACTGAAATTCTTTGCGTATACTTGAATACATGACAGGAATGTATAAATTTTCTAAACTTTCTGACATTTTTCTCCATTTGGTTTGAACTTTAACACAATCAGACATGTAATATCCTATTCTTCTCACAACTGTCTTTTACTGTTTGAATTTATTTTTAACCTATTATTTCAATACTAAACTTTATTATCTTTTATTCACACTTATTTTTCAATTAGAATCATTAATATATCTTTTAGGTATCTTTCTCATTCTTATACTTACCATCAATAACAATATTAACTAGAGAGGATCAAAGAGATACAGGTAGGCTACTCGTAATTGTAAATGTAAAACTGCTTAGAATCTGATCCCCCCCTTTCCTTTTTTTAAAACTAAAGATGTTGCTATTCTAACGAAGTTTAAACCTCAAAGACACTATTAACAAAAAGCTATATTTAGCACTTTACATTTATATGGCATGTTACTCTGTAACTGAAAGAATGTGCTATTTGGGGGCTGGGAAGGTGGCTCAGTGGTAGAGCACTTGCCTTGCATGCATGAGGCCCTAGACTCGATTCCTCAGCACCACATAAAAAAAAGAAAAAAGCCAGAAGTGGCGCTGTGGCTCAAGTGGTAGAGTGCTAGCCTTGAGCTGAAGAGCTGAGGGATAGCGCCCAGGCCCAGAGTTCAGGCCCCACGACTGGACCCCCCCCAAAAAAAGAATGTGTTATTTGTTCTGTATGTTATCCTGATCACTACTGACTATTATTTTCTTCTGAAAAGATGCTTCTCAATGGCCAAGAATGGATGCACAGCATGCTAAGTGACTTTTCCCCTGAAATAATACCAGTAGATTTGCATAAGAGCTGAAACTCTTCAAGTATACTACACTTGAATGTCATGGAAGTACATGTTTTCTGAATCTCCTGACACTTTTCCTCATTTGGTTTGGTATTTAACACAACTAAATCATAGTACTTCATAGCTATTTTTTTTTCTGAAAAGATACTGAAGAAAACTGGATTGGAAATGTCACTCAAGTGGTAGCATGCTAGTCCTTTTAAACTTTTAAAAGGCAACTTTAAAAACTTTTCAGCTTCCTAATCATTTTCTATTAATACTTCATCATTATCCTCCATTAACTAAATTTCTAGTGATTAAAAAAAGTATACCAGGCAAGGCAAGCAGAACACAGAACAGCAAGCAGTTTGTCTTATTTCATATGACATGGATTTGTAAAGCAAAGAATATTAATATAAAACAGTGTTTATTCACAAACATTGAATACATCTAAATGTGCTTTTCTCAAATAGAACATCTTTTATCTCTTCAAAGTGAAATTTAATCTTTCATTTCCAAGCAAAGAAGGAAGGGAAAGAGGGAAGGGAGGGGAAAGCAGGAGGGAAGGAGTGAGGGAGGGAGGGAGGGAGAAAAGGAAAGAGAGATGGGGGGGTGAGAGGAAAAGGAAAAAGAGAAGAAGGAAGGGGAAAAGAATAGCCAATAGAAATAAATAGTCAAAACGAACAAGTAGACATTGCACTAAAGAAGGTATAGAGGGTAATAGCACATGATATAGGGTCCAACATCAATGGTCATTCAAAAACACAAATCAAAAGCAAAATGAAATATTAACATAGAACTTGCTAAGCTAAAAATTATAGAAAAATTTTAAACAGGCACTTATGAAATTTCACACAAAAATCTATATTTGAGTATTTATATTAACCTGAATTTTTTAACTGTCACAAACTAAAAAAGGCAAATGTTCTTGAACAGATGAAATTATAAACTGTGATCTCTCTATCATATGGAATACTACTCAACAATAAAAATGAACAAATTTCTGAAATATGCAACCTCTGGATGGGTCTATAGAGAATTATGTTGAATGAATAAAAGTTGATCTCAAAAAATGGCATATTACATGATCCCATTTATATTGCTTGTTTTTGTGTTTTTTTTGGTCAGTCATGGGGCCTGAACTCTGGGCCTGGCCTGGGCCTGTCTCTCAGCTCTTCAGCTCAAGGTTAGCGCTCTACCACTTGAGCCACAGCACCACTTCCAGCTTTTTCTGCTTATGCTGAGGAATCGAACCAGGGCCTCATGCATGCAAGGCCAGCGCTCTACCACTGAGCCATCTTCACAGCCCCTATATTGCTTTCTTGAAATGACAAAATTTTAGAGAGAAAATAGGCTAGTGTAGCATGGGATTAGGAATGGGATGGGAAGGAAAGTAGCTGTGTTTGGAATCTTGACTATGATGATTATACACAAATCATACATGTGAAAATTTGCACAAAAATAAATTATACACAATGAATACATGCAGGCAATCTCCATACATGATAAATTCTTTAAATGTCAATATCCTGGCTGTGATACTATATTATAACTAACCAAAATATTACCACTGGTGAAAAATGGATAAAGAATATCTGAACTCACTCTCCTAGATTAGTTCTAACAGCTATAAATGAATATATACTTATTTCAAAATAAAAAGGCTTCAATTTTATTTTTAATAAAATAGAAAAAGGTATTTTACTACTTTATTTTGTTTCTGTGGATTAGAATAAAAGAATTATTAATGAGTTTGATACTGAATAATAATGAAATATCAAATAGAACAGAAAGAAGAGTTCATTTTTAAATCATACCAATTAATCAATGAAAACAAATACGGCAACTATAAAGTTACCAATAAAATATCACTATAATAGTTATTCCAAGCACATTCCCAGATAGATGCTTATGGTAGTAAATAACAATTTAAAAGTGAACAGTATATTTGAATAGTTCCACTGAATCTACCCAAAATATTTGCTATGGTTATTTATTACCTACTTAATTCACAATACTGAACTCAGAGCCTGGTGCTTGCTCAAGTTGCTTACTTGGCTAGCACGCTACTACTTGAACCATGCCTCCAGCCTTGACTTTTGCTAGGGATGGAGTGAGCTGGCTTTGAATCTCTTGATCCTCCAGAGTAGCTAGGATTACAGCCTTTAGCCAGCAGCACCCAGCTGGTATGATTTAGAGAAACAGCTCCCATAGGCCTAGTTATTAAAGGTTTGGTCCCTAGTCTACAGAACTACTGGGAGGTAACAGTATCTTTAAGGGATTGGAATGAGTGGAAGGAAATGAGTTCACTGGAGTGAGTGCTGGAATGAATAGTAGCCCTTTTGTGGGCAATGAAGCATTTTTTGTTGTTGCTGTTGCTAAGTCTTTGCTTTCGTAAGAGCAATGACATACTGACTTCAAAACATATTAGTAATATTCTGCTCTCAAATGAGTTGTGTCTGTTATATAATAACGTATTTCATATACATATTTGTCTTACCTGGCAAGTTCTTTAATCAAGTTTGCAATGCGCCTTTTGTCTTCCAGACATAAATCCTTCAACGATGCACTCTTTGCTCCTTCCTTGCACAAATTCTAAAACACAAGCATGCTCTGATTAACTTTCTCTAAAAACAACTTTTAAGTCTTTTTGAGAAAGAAGGAAAGGAAGAAAGCGGGGTTGGGAAGGCAGCAGTTGGTGCAAGGCTCACATTTGTAATCTTAGCTACTCAGGAGGCAGAGATCAGGAAAATCATGGTTTGAGGCCTGCTGGTCAAGTTAGCTGAGAACTCATTTTAACAAAAAATGTTGTATATAATGGTACACCTGCAATTTTATCTCTGTTAGAGGTGTATGTAGGAGGATCATAGGCCCAACATGGCCCAAGCAATAAATATAGTCCCTATCTGAAATATAGCTAAATTAGAAACTGAGTGGGGCATAGCTAAAAGTGGTACAGCACTTGCTTAGTAAGCACAAGGCACTGAATTCAATCTGTAGTGCCAACAATAAGTAAATAAGTATAGGATATAAGCTTTATTTGATATCTTTTATCTGGTGGAACACTGCCAGTTTCATTTAAAAATATTGTGAATTCAAAACAGTCTATGGAACTGATAATGAACAAGACAACATAGACTTTACACAGAAAGAAATTAAAAGCTGAAGATGTTCCTGCTAAAGTACTAACAAATATTAAGGAAACAACTTTTCTTTTGTAAATGTCAGAAGAATAAGGTCCTAATGGAAGAAACTAAAAGCCTGTTTACACTATAGCTCCAAAGCTTTTGTTGTTGTTTTGAGGTGTCCAGGGACTTGAACTCAGCTTCTGGTAGTGTCCTTGAGCTTTTGTGTTCAAGGCTAGTTGCTCTGCCACTTGAGCCTCACACAGGTCCACTTGCAGCTTTTTGGTGCTTAACTAAAGATAAGAGTCTTATGGCTTTTTCTGCCTAAGCTGGCTTCAAACTGTGACCCTCAGATCTCAGCCTCCTGACTAGCTAGGGTTACATAGGGTTACAGGTGTAAGCCACTGACGCCAGGCTACTTTTTAAGGGTATACAAAGGCTACTGGACGAGGCACTAAGTCACTAATAAGTTACTGAGCATTCAAATTATGCTAAGGTTCATTCTTAAGGATACTTGGTCAAAGAAAGAATACTTGCAGATGTACAAGTCGTTATGTCAAAAACTGAACTTTACAACTTTGGTGGGGGGGGGGAATGGGGAGGGATGTGAAGGGGAAACAAAGGAGGAGGCAACAATGCTTGATAAGAAATGTCTGGTTATCTTGCCCATGTAATTGTAACCCCTCTGTATGGTATTTTCACAATACAAAAAAAAAAAGAAAGAATAATTGTTATATTTGTATTTACTATATGCCAAGAATATTTTCAGGATTTCATATTTACTAACCAACTTCATTTTCATAACCAAGCTATTAGGCAAATATTATTCTTGTTCTACTTTAAAGGCACATGTATTGTCCAGTTATAACTGTTAAATAGCAGAACTGGGATTCAAACAAGCTGTGCTCTTAAACTGTATATGTCCTACCTTTTGTACTGTAAAAAGTTCTCCATAGAAGTTAATCCAACTACCTCAGATAGCCCACAAACCAAGGATGAGTAAAATGAATCCTTGAAATAGTTATCAGCAAAAGTTGGGGAAAGATAGAATAGGAAAGGAAAACAGAAAAGGATAAGAAAATGAGACTGGATTAAAGCAATTCAGTTTCAGATGCTAGCAAAACATTCACGTGGAAATTATGTCTGTCTCTCAAGTCAGAGATTTGTAATTTAGATGTTTTTTTCTAATAGCAATAGACTTAGACTGAATAACAAAATAGTTCTTAAAAATCATCAAGAAATAAAATATATAATTTAATTTTAATTAATCTGATTTTAATTAAGTTAAATTTGCATTTGAAAAGATAAAAGCAAAATAAAAAGCATACAGTAGTGATGAAAAAAATCTTTCAGAATATAGGATCAATAACACTAATGACAGAAATAACCAAATAAACTAGGAAAAGGTGGGATTTGGCAATACAAGATATTATCTTGTATTCGTATCATCTATTATCTATGCTGATGATAATCATAAAAAGACATTTCAGTAATGGTGAGGTGAAAGAAACACACAATAGAAGAAAACCCCTGCATAGAGGTAAAAAATTTTAACAGACACTATTAACAGAAAAATACTTGAAAAAGAGTACCAAAAGTATGGCCTACTGGTACAACAGAATGCTATATTTTGTTGTTATGCTAGTGGTATTCATTTTTTCTGAGTGCTAGTGGTTTTCATCCTTTTGGGCTCTGCTTTATGATGCTGAAGCTGAGACTCTAGAAACTTCATTTCTCCTTCGCCACTTGACTGTTGACAAAACCAGATGGAGACCAGAGGCTGATAGAGGGGGAAAAAACATATTTCCTCATATTTGCTTCCTGTTAACTGTCAGCATCGCCTTTATCTCATTTATTCTTAAAGAATAGTTGGTGTTGACATATTGATTTAAAAAAGAGAGATTTGTTTGCAATTACTAGAAGAACCAACTTCTATCAGGCCTTTTGAGGAAGGCTGGTATCTTATCATCAGAAGTCCAAGTTCCAACGTTAAGTAGCCCTTCCCTAATTTTCTAAGTGTTAGTAATTCCAACTTGTTCTGCTTGTTCATCCAGCTCTAGAGTTAGTAACTGTTTCTTGCAGTTAATACTATCATAATACTTTACTGTTTCCTTGTTGCTTTTTTGGTTCTCTAATATCTAATTAACAGGTTTTTTTTACATACAGCATAAAAATCTCACAATAACTTATAATACAAATAACAAAGATATAAAGTTTCAAACATATATAAAACTAAATGGTGTTTAAAAACAAAAATGTATTTACTCAGACAGGGCTTGGTAAACTACAAATGCCAGAAAAATCTGGCCCATTGCCTGTTTTGTAAAAAAGTTTGTTAGAATATAACTATAACCAAACTTACTCATTTCCTGTCTCATTTCATTCTATATAGGGATAAAGATGAGTAGTTGAAACATCTCTTCTCTAGCCAAAGCTAGAGTTTCCTATCTTGTCCTTTATAAAAGTTTGTTTATACCCAATTTAGAAAAACAAATGAAGAAACATAAAATTTGGAATACTGTTTAGCAAAGAAGATATAAGGGAAGGGTACATCTCTACAGTCTGACTAACTAGTGTATCATTGTAATTCAGTAGAGAAAAGAATGGTGCTAATGGTTCATGATGTAATACCAACTACTTGGAAGACAGAGATTCAGAAGGTTCAAAGTTCATAAAACTCAGTCTCAATCAACAACTGGGTGCAGTGGCACATGCCTGTCATCCAGCTACACAGGAAGCTGAGAGCAGAAGGATTACGGTTCCAAGCCAGCCCAGGCAGAAAAGTTCATAAAACCCCATTTCAACAGAAAAGTGGTACTTGGCTGCCATCCCAGATACAGCAGGAAGCATAAATAGAATGACTATATTTTAGACTATCTTGGGCAAAAAGCAAAGCCCTACTTCAAAAATAACCAGAGCAAAAAGGGCTTAAAACATGATTCAAATGACCAAGTATCTGCCTAACAAGTACAAAGCTCTGAGTTCAAATCCCAATACCCCCAAAATAGACATAAATGTTGGTGAGCACATGGAGAATTGGAAACGTCTAACATTGCTAGCACAAATACAATTTGCTATAATCACAATACAAATTTTGTTGGTATTTTGTCAGGTTAAATATACAATTACTATATAAATCATTAAATCTAATGATTTATATCATTAGATTTCTAATGATATAAATCTATAGATTCCCTAGAAAACTGAAAACATACATCCACACAAAAATGTGTATGTAAGTGTTCACAGCAACATTATTCATAATGTTCCTTTTTATAAAGGAAATGGAAATGTCCATTAACTGGCAAATGGATACACAAATGTGAATTCAGCCATAAAAAAGGAATTAAGTATACAATACATAATACAATATAGATGAACCTTGAAATCACCACCACAGCTAAACCCTGTAGACTATTAAATATGATTATCAGCAACAAAATAGACATTAGAACTGTGTTCAAGAATATAAATTATGATTATAAAACATTTTCTATAAAAAGTCCATCAGAAAATGTTTTAGGAATGTGGGTACAGCCTCTGAAGCAGTTTAACCACTGTAACAAGAAAGCAGCCACAGACAATCCATGAAAGAATGAACACAGGGGTGGCTCCATAAAAACTTTATTTATAATGCATGTGCCAGAAGATTTGACTCACAAGTTGGATTCTAAGTCTGGACATCAATTCTGGTTGAGGAGGGAAAACACAACAAAAATCAAAGTAAAATACACAGGTCACAAAGGACATAACTGAATATTGCACATGCTATTATAAAGACAAAGATAAATGAGGGAAAAATCAATGACTGGTCTCTAAAAACCAAGTTTATGATATTCCTTTACAAAAAGTGAAAATAATAATAATGATGGTAATGATAATTAATTTTCTTTACTAAAGCATAATTCTAATACAAAAGGATTCATCCTTAAAGAAACATACTCATAAGAACAAAATCATAAAGGCTACTCAATTAAAAATGTTTAACAATTTGAATTTCTAGTATCACATAAAATGTACATCACTTGAGATATATTAAGATACTAAAATGGGGGAGGATATAGTCATAAAACTTAATGCATAAAGCTACAAAATTAAGCAAAATGAGGTAGCGGGAAGGGTTTGAAGGGATGAAGAAAAATTACATTGACATCGATCAAAATGCTTTGTATTCATAAACTGATTTGTTGAATGGTAACTCATTTGTATTCATAAACTGATTTGCTGAATGATAAGTCTTTTGTACAACTACTTAAAGATAATAAAAAAATCAAAACAACAAAAACATATTAAGATATGTTTTCTTATAAAGGCTTAATGCATGTATATATATTTTGTAGCAAACTCTAATATATATTTTATACTCACCATTATCAAAGGATCCCCAAAGTTTCTGAATCTACTAAAAACTTTTATTAGATCACCTAATGATTTTTAAAAAATTATGCTTATTGCTCAGCACTTATAAAAACTAGTGAATTAGGGGCTGGAAAGGTGGCTCAGTGGTAGAGTGCTTGCCTTGCATGCATGAGGCCCTGGGTTCAATTCCTCAGCACCACGCAAGCAGAAAAAAGCTAGAAGTGGCGCTGTGGCTCAAGTGGTAGAGCGCTAGCCCTAAGCCGAAAAGCTGAGAGACAGCGCCCGAGCCAGAGTTCAGGCCCCATGACTGACAAAAAAAAAAAAAAAAACCAGTGAATTAAAAGAAATAAATCACTGACCTGTTCACCTACTGCATCTCCGGCACCTTTTAAAGACTCCATATCGATTGAAGTATGAGTCACTCTGGACATATTAACTTTACCATCAGCTTTTAGACTTGACTTGTATCTTGATCTGTTATTTCCTTCTGTAGAAATTCCTATGGATTTTCATTAAACAAGATTTCAAAATTATGTCTTCCCTTTCTCTAAAACCCCTTTCCACTCCCATCAACAATCTTCCTTAGTTTCTTCTATTTTATGGTATTTGATAGGAAAAAATGTTTATTTTAATACTTTATCATAAAACTCTTTCAAGATGTAATGAATCACAAAAGTGTTTTAAATACTTTAATAATACAACTGAAAAATATAAAAGATGCTGTGAAGACATAAAAATATTAATAGCAATAAATTGTAATATACCTAGACAACTTGGAGGAAATCAGATGTTCTTCTCCTAATTATGGTATCTTCAATGATATCACTTTACTATTCATCTAATAACTAGCAAACTCTCACTCTCCCTCCCTATCTCTCCTCTGTCTCTCTCTCACACTGTGTGTCTGTCTTGTCTCCTTCCTCTCTCTCTCTCTCTCTCCCCCCCCTCTGTCTTGTCTCTTACATTCTTTGTGCTGGTCCTGGGACTTGAACTCAGGCCTCTGAGCAGTCCTTGAACTTCTTTTTGATCAAAGCGAGCATTCTACCACTCAAACCACAGCTCCACTTCCAGATCTTTTAATTTTTTTTCTTTTTGATAGTTTATTGGACATAAGAGTCTCAAGGACTTTCCTGCCTGGTCTGACTTCAATTGTAATCCTCAGATCTCAGTCTCCTAAGTGGCTAGGATTACCAGAGTGAGTTAATGGCCCCCAGCTGAAGTCTTCACTCTTTACTCTGGGATATTAAATTGTAGTTACTAGTCATTTAAAAAACTTTAAAAGAATCTCTTTGGGTGGGCATCATCCTGTCTACAGAGGGCCTGAAGAGAACAAAAATACTGATGAATGATGAACTCATTAAAAAAAAAAAAATCTCTTGCCCTTAATACATGAAAAAGTCTAGAAGTTAATTAAAAGGTGACTTGCCCAGTCAGTCTATAAGATGAGCCAGTATTTGAAACCTGCTCAAATATTCAAAAATATTTAAACTTTTGGACTAGTTTAAAAAAACAATTTAATGTTCTGTTGGACAGTTTTGTTTCATTTCCTCCCAGCACTCAAGAGGCAAAGTAAACTTACTAAATTTTAATACAGAAAGTCATACCTGGAACATATACTACTGATTGTTCTTCATCAGAAACTATGAGGAAGGATGTGAAGGAAAATAATATACCAATATCCAAATGCTGCTCTTGTTCTTTGTGACTGTGATAATTCTTCATCATTTTGACCTGAGAATTTATAACTTACTTAAAAAAAAAGCCAGAAAGCAAAGAGACTGAATTCAATGGTGCAAGATCAATACTATGTAAAAGTTCATCTTTAGATAATCACGACTATATTTCATACAAATTTTAGAAAGCATTTAACCAAGACAGTTTTATTAACTCTTTATTATACTGTACATTCTGCTGTTAAGTTACTATTCTTTTGTAAACAAGGAGTTAAGTATTACAATGTTCATGATTAAGAAACTGACAAGTTATTTTAGGCATGAAGAATATACAGAATTTCAAGACAGGCTTTGCCTTTAAAGAACAAACACTGTTTGGGGACAAACTAATTATGCAAATACAAAGACAATATTTATTCTTCTGCAGTGCATTCATGAAATGTCTCAAGAAGCCCTATTATTGAAAATGCAGACAAAATTTAAATCCAAAGAAAGAACTATTTTGAGTTTTTTTAAGAAGAAATTTAGAAAGGTTAAGATCATACATTGCTACAGAAAGAGAACCAACTAAGATAAGAAGTTTGTCTAAATCAAATATGCTTACAATTTGTAAGCTAGAACATGTACAGGCAAGAAGCATCTATGTAAGTTTTCCCCCAAATAATCTAAAAATACTTTAAGTTTTCTGTTCTTTTAAAAAATGTTTTCTAAGAATTCTATACAAAAATAATTATGTTTAGCATTCTGGGAAAAGCTAGAGTAGATTTAACGTCTTAAAAGTCAATATATTTCATCTCAGTTTCAACCTTGGTAATGGAGTCTTTCCAGAGAACACTGACCACAAATACCTAGACTCCTACAAAAATAATAGGAATTTAGTTGGAGTTGTCTCTGAGCTGGCAGTTGCTATTTCACAACTCACTGCAGCAACAGATGCTGGTAACAAGGTTCTTTACATTTTCTTTAACTAAATAGGCTCTTATCTGCAAATAGTTGTAAAGAGGAGTTGCCACTTAACAGTTTATGAATAGTATCATGATCAATGTCACCCTTTTCAACATTCTTACCCATTTTTTCCAACCAATCCCTTCCCTCACTTTCCTTAATCTTGTAGGATATGTATTGAATTTTTTGCCATAAACAAAGCAGTTTATATAATGCATTTTTACATGTGTCACCTACTTCAATATCTTTACCACACTTCAACCTCCCTCCCCTTATTTTTTCTTTTTTGGTATATAAAATGAATTCTTGACTGTATTTTTCCCTTCTTCCCCCTACACCTGCTCTCCTTGATCCCTAACTTACAAATATCCATTTCCTGATACTAAGCTTATAGAATTTTAACTAAGTCTTTCTAAAGAATTATACTATTGGAGCTCTATTTAGAGTCTATTATACTTCAGTTCATTCATTTGTAACTGTGCTTACTTTTTTTATAGGCATATTCTAACTACTACAAATGAGGGAAGCCATGCAACCTGTGTTCCTCTAAGTCTGGCTTACTTCACTTAATTTTTTCCAAGTCTTTCCATTTCCTTATGAATGGTAAAATATCATTCTTAATAATGGATGAGTAAATTCCATTGTGTATATACACCACTTTTTTTAAATTTGATCCATTCGTCCCCGAAGGGGCATCTTGAGTGATTGCCTATCTTGGCTATGGTAACTAGTACTGCAATAAACATGGTTGTGCTGGTGGCTTTATTGAAGCCTTGTTTGTGCTCTATTGGATGAATGTTAGGAATGCAATTGCTGGATCATAGGGCAGCTCTATGTTTCAATTCCCTCAAACATCAGCAATAAAACAGTTTTAGGAGGCACAACAAGTAAACAAAAACATCAGAATCACCAGTCCAAAGAAAATAAGTTAACTAATAGGGAAGTAGAAATTGAATTTCCAAATTTACCAACACCCAATCTAAAAATAGTCTTCGGAAATGAAATTATCCAGGCTCCTCAACAACAAAAACTATTTCATTCTTTTATATCCTTTTGGACTAGCATAGGGCCTTATACTCAAGTACTCTATAAATGTTTGTAATGTATTTAGAAAAAAAATGCAGGAGAAAAATTCAACACAACAGTACAAGGATTTGTTCCCTATCACAGTGCTTTTGAATATTCTTTTTTTTAGGTCTGAGACTGGGACTTGAACATAGTACCTAATGCTTTCACTCACTTGCTAGCACTCTACCAACTGAGCCACACCTCCAACCCCAAAGGTTGTTTATTTCTTTTTTTCTTTTAGTAAATAAGAATTCTCAATTTATTCTCCAAAGGTGACCTAAGGAAAGACTAACATAATAGCGTTCATTTACAAAGGTACACTCCCAACAGGTAATCAGGTTCACTCAGTGGAGACTTGGAACTTCACACAGCTACACTTTGATTTAAAAGCACAATCAAATATTTCTCACTGTTTTCCTCTGTCCTCAAATCTAACATAAATTCTATCTTACTTATTCTTAGTTAGTAATTTTGTTTGCCCTGCCTCCCTTCTGCCTCTCCTTTCTTTTTTGTTGGTTTGATGGTTTATTTACATTAATAGGAACTGAATCCAGGGCACTGTTCGAACTCTATCACAGAGCTAAATACCTAGCTCCAATTTCTTTAAGAAAACATATTGTAAAAACCTGTCCTATGCCACTATCAGCATATCTAACTCTTGCCTTTACCTGTGCCTACTCTACTTCCCCTTTTTGCTACAGATAAACTGTTCATGTTCCTGTCCAAAGTCAATGCAGTCTCAGTACATACAAACATATATACATACACAACTCAATCATACACAACTCAATTATTTTTATATGAAGATATTGCTTCTAATATTATCATCATTTCTCCTGAGTCAATAATTTTTCCTATTAAACTTTTTCCCTAAGCACTCAAACATAATAATGCAGTTTTTATATGTTTTTTATTGTAAAAATACTGTACAGAGGGGTTACAGTTAAATGATTAATGAGTACATTTCCTATCGAGATAATGCAGTTTTTGAGGGTTGAAAATCTCCTAAGCCACTAATAGAATACTATGCTCCTTTTATGGCAAAACTTCACAAGAGCCATTCACTTTCCTCTCCTCCCAATCAGCCTTAAGCCTACTCCAATCAAGCTTCTGACTTACCAGACCACAATTTTGAAAAGTTTTAATGTCCTTTATTAATAAATCCATTAATCGGCTTTTAGGCTTTTTTGTATCTGATCTATTGATAGTATTTGACATAAATATCAATTCTCTTTAAAACATCTTTTTTTCTTAGTTGCAAAGATACCACATAATCATAATTTTCCTCATACTATTCTAGTAATTCCTGCTTGGCTTTCTTTGCAACATTCCTAGGGCTCATTCCTTCAGCTTTACTCTACATACTCATCTTCTTGATGATCATCTTCAATTCTCAGGATTTTAAACACAAACATGTTGAGTTCTGTCAAAATACTCTTGAAAAGAAGTCTATTTGCCTGACATTATCACTTAGCTTCATAAAAGATATCTCGAAGATCTGACTGCTGGTTCATGTCTGCCTATATATTCAAACTACTAAGAGGTGGAGTTAGGAAGTTTGAGATGAAAAATGAACCTGGGCAAAATTGAGACCCTATCTAAAAAATAAGCAAAAGGAACTAGAAGAAGGGCTGAAATGATGAGTGTTTTTCTAGCAAGCATGAGGTCCTGTGTTCAAACTCCAGTACAGCCAAAGAAGAAACTGTTTCTAATTCAACTGTCCAAAACTGAAGCCCTAACAGTTTATCTTAAAATCTGTTCCAATCTCACTAAATGACAATTCAATCTTCCTGTTTGTCTTCACCTCACACACTCTGAAAATTCTGTTGTTATAACCTCCAAATCACACCTAATGTCCAAAGGCTTCTCACCAACATCATCAGTTCAATCACCATCAGTTCCTCTCATAACTGTTCTCTTGTTTCTATCTGTAACTCCTCAATAGTCTATTTTTCTCACTCAGTGGTCAGAAAGAACATTTTAAAGATGTCATTCCTCAATCAGAGTAAAAGCCAAAGTATTCACAAGGGCCTACAATGCTCAAGATCTGATCACTCTATTCTTGTTACCTCTCTGATCTCATTTGTGGCAAGGAAATTTCCCTTATTCGTCCTTGGCTTTCTTAGTTTGTTAATGGGCTACACAAGCTCCTGCCTCAGAATTTTTGCATTTATGATTTATTCTATGTTATTAGTTCTTTCCTATATTTTCACAGTTCAATTCCATATCCCTTTGGTCATATGCCATTTGCTATATGAAACGTTTATTTTCTAATGTAGGTACTTAAAAATTGCAAAATTCTCTTCTTGTAAAACATCTATCCCTCATCACTTGCCCCTATCCTGCTTTAATTTTCTCTACGGTACCTAAAATTATTATACATGCAATGTGTTTATCTGTGACTTTTATCTCACTTAAGTCTAAGTGCCAAGAGGATGACCACTTTTAGCTTTCATATTCAATTTTGCATCTCCAACCATAAAAGAATGCTTGGTTCATAGTAAACTATCGATGAAAAAATGAGATTATGAGATTATGAGATTTATGAGATTATGGATCAATAATTTTCAGTGTTCTATGTCTCATTCAGAATACTTATTTAAAATCTATTCCAACTATACCAATAGCAATTTCTTTGTCAAACAGGAAAAACCTGTAAATAAACTGCCTCCAACAAATATTTTTTAAATAAGAAAATGCTGAAAATTACTTCCATCTGACTTATCCTTTCTAATAACACATAGTTCCATTATCTTAAAACTCAAACATTTACAAGTGTTGCACCTCTTTTAAAATTTGTCCAGCAAGTTTTCTAGCATTTGCTAAAAAATCCCTTTTAAAACTACCCTGCTATATAGAACTTCCCAACAAATGTGTATTTTATGGAGAGATCAAAGAAATATAAGTTAATATGCCAAATGTACGTTGGACCAACTTTAGATTAAATATGCTACCTATTTCTACTTTGACTTCTTTCATAGAAGTGCCCCCAAAAGACACATACAGTGAGCTATACACACCTTTAATGCTGCTATGAATCAAAATCCCAAGAATTCAATTAGTAATTAGCAACTCAGAGCAAAAGTAGTCAAGAAGAAGAAACATCTGAAGAAAATAAGCACAGTACTGCCCACTCTAACCCTTGAAGGTTATAAATACAAGCATATATAATTATTATTGACCACATAGATTTTGCGGTAGATATTGACCATATAATTTTGCGGTAGCAAATTATTTTTTACATCAACACAAAGTTGTCACCTATTTTTATTCAAAAACTTAATTCCAGAGAAAACTGTTACCAGAATGTTTTAACTGTGTCCCTTCTAATTCGTATTTGTTAATATGATTACTAGTATTGTTAATGATACCTGCTTTTGATGAACTTAAGCAATCAAAATTGGATTCTACAGGAAAAATAATTACTTCAGATATTACTAAGAATTATGATGAAGGAAAGCAATAAAGGGGTATATTTTCTTAGAAGATCTAACCCACCAAAAAAACTTTGTGGCACATTCATCTTTACAGATTAAGTACTAAGACATACCTTGTATAAAATGGCATTACTGAGTCATACTGCAGAGAAGGTGTATAACTCATAAGACTAATAGAAAAAAATGACATTCATAGATAATCTGCCCTCTCATGATGGAAACTTCTAGGATTGAGCATTTTTCCAATCACATGTCTCTATTTTTGTAGGTGAAGAACTGGAATTTTTTTTCAATAGTGTGTAAAGAATACCATACTATACATACTATTTGGCCTTTTCCTATTGAGATAGAGAGTATATACTACTTCTACATGAATAAGAAGGATGTAACTACATGAACACAGTGCTAAAATCAACGACATGGATTTGTTCACAGGCTTGTCAATTAACTTACTCAGTCCCACTGTAACTGAATGCCAACTCCCTACCATGCAATCTTTACATCAGGACATTATCATTAATTATTATAAGTTAATAATCTTTAAAAGTCTTCTCTGTCTCAAAATCCTATCAATGCAGAAACAGTGCTTCATAAGGATTCATCCCAACCTCCGGATTTCCTAATTCAGCCCAACTGTTCCTAATACATATATCCTCATTCCTACTGATGGGTAAAAGGAATATTTAATTTCCACAGTACACCAGTGTGCTTGCATCCACAGTGTATGTACCAAATTTCAGTTGTTTCTTGTCAACCTATCGGAGACAAGTAGTAATACTAAACATCCAGTGGCACAGAATGTGAAAATTTTCTTCTTTACACACACGGCTCTCTAATCCTAGTAATTAGATAAGGGAAACTAGCAATACAATTTGATAAATTTCACTGGGAGCTAAATTAGACTGTCCAAAGTGATTGTGCCAATGGCAAAAAGCAATGTCTCAAACAATGCCATCACCAGTCCTAGCAAGCATTCAAGCAGTAACACTGATTAAATTCTGTCTTCCAAGTAATGCTCCTCTAGTGAACAAGAACATTAGTGTGGGCTCTTAAAGTCCACTAGATCAAGGGACAGAATCCCTGAGTTATAAGCATCACAGATTCGGAGCCAGGAATAAATAACATCACGGGGCTGTCATTGGTGGTGACCCCACAGCCTACATGTTGGGCTAACACTACTTCCAGGCAGGATGATTCACACTGTAGTCTCACTAGCAGGCAAAGAACACGTCCCAGAGAGACCAGACCCCACACCTTCCCTAAAGACCCGGTGTGTGAAAATGCATCACTATAAGGGTCCTGCAATTCCAGCAAGGTCCGAACACGCTCCCAACACCCACCGCCTAAGGCTCATCCTAACTCCCGTCAACAAGGTTTCCTATCCAGCCAACACCCAACTCTCGCTCCGCCCCAAGCTCAGGCCACAGACTGAGGGGGCCTGGGGTACCCGCGGGAGGGTCGGCCCCAGGCCATCTCTCCAGAGCTCACCACCGTGGAGGGCCGAGGGCCCAGAGCCCTGCGCCCCCACACCTGGAATCCTGGCCTGGGGACGCCACTACCCACGCGGGGCGCTGGAGCCCGGCCCCTACATAGCAGTGGGCAGAGCACATCCATGACCCCAAGGTCAGCACCGCTCTTCTCCCGTCCGCGCAGGTTTACGCGACCGCCCCACCCCTCGCCGCCCCCGAAGAGGGCGCCGGCGCCCCCTGCCCGTCAGGGCAAAGGATACTGTCGCGACTCCAGAACGCCGGGGCGCCCGAGCGGGAGGGGCCCGCCACGTCCGCCATCTTGAAACAACCGCCACTCCGGGCGCTGCCCCGGGATCGCCACGCCCCTGACTTCAGGATCGGTCCCAATTGGACGTGTGGCGCAGAGACCCGCCCTCGCTTACGCGTCCGGCCGCGGCGAGGAGAGAGAGTCCGGCGGAAGGCCCCGCCGGGAGGTGTGGTGTGGAGTAGAGACCCGGAGCGTGGGAACCAGTGCCCCACCGAACTGCTGCTGCCGGGCCAGCCGAGGGCCCCCATCCCCAACCCGTCCAGCTCTCAGGCGTGAAGAACTACAACTCCCAGCATGCCTTGAGCCCGACGATCCGGGACGCTGAGGCGGGGTCGGGCCCTCCAGTCTCCCCCTCCCCGCCGGCTTTCCTCACGGGTCCTCCTGGCTCTCCCGGCCGCGCGCGGAACTGGGACTCGAGCCATGGAGGACGCGTCGCCTCCGCTGCTGAACAACAGCAAGCCACACCTGGAGAAGCTAACCCTGGGGGTCACCCGTATTCTGGGTGAGTGGCGGCGGCGTGCCTGGGACGGAGGAGGGAGGGCCGAGGCGACCGGGACGCGGTGAATTCGTGGTTGAATGGGGAAGGCAGGGGAGCCGGGTGCGTGCCGGGCGGGGAGGGGGTTTGCCTGCGAGCGTGTTCCGAGGCCGAGCCGGGAGGGGTTCCCCTCGCCCACCCTGCCCTCCTGGGCCCGAAAGGACACGCGGATGCTGGGCAAAGCGGTGTCCGCAGTCAAGGCAGTGACCTTGACACCCCGGGGCGGGAGAATGAGCTGGGAACTGATGCAGCCTGCCTTCCCGGGACTACCTGCAGCGATCCCCAAAAGATCCAAGCTCGCACTGCCCAGGACCTCGAGTTTGTCTTCCACCCTCCATCGAGTGAGGGATGTTATACCACTGTACTGGACGCGAAGATGAAAGAGAGAAAAAGACAAGTTATGTAGGGGCCGGGGCCGGGGGTGGAGAGACACTAATAATCTAGCAGCCTGAAAAAAGAGGTCAGAGAGGAACCGGCCTTCCTGGGAAGTTAAGAAACACGTCCCAGAGATGTAGCTAGCTAGAACCGGAGAGAAGAATGGCTACCCAAACCTTCTCATTGGCATTATAATAAAATGCACATTTCTCTACCATGACCCACAAGTCCATGTTTGAGCTGTTCTCTTCTTTCTGTTTTCGCCACGGTGGCCATCTTGCTATTAAGGCCATAACCCTAAAACACATGTAGCTTGTTCTTGCTTCAAGACTTCTGCAGTTCCCTTGGGCTTCCATTCGAAATTATTTTCCTCTGAATGTCCCTTACATCATTTGGATACCTGATCAAATGAGCATTACCTCAGAAAAACAATTCCCAAGTGAAGTTTCCAACACCCTTTCCTTTTTATGGCTTCCTTTTTCTTTTTCATGAGAGTAGCCCTTAGCACTATTTGAAGTTATTCATGTTACTGTGATTTAAATTTGTCTCTCTGTAATAGAAGTTCACTAACAAGTATGATTTATCCTAGGAATGTGTAGTTTCATATTGAAAATTAATGTAACATAACTTTAATAGAATAAACAATCCACATAATCATCTCAATAGATGCAGAAAATCCACTTGACATAATCCAACACCCTTTCATAATGTTAACTATGAAAAAGAAAAACTTAAACGAATAGAAATAGAACTAGTTCATCCTCATAAAGGACATCTGTGAAAATATCATGGTTGACATCATGTTGAGAGACTGGACATTTTTCTCTTCATATGAGAAACAAAATTAAAACATGCCAGAGGTCTAGAAGACCACACCAAGTTTTATGATTTGCTAGGCTTACAGAACTGAGTGGGTAGTCATACTTTTGGCTGTGATTGTTTACAGCAAAACCAGTAAAGGAACAGAACATGAAGAAGTCAAGAAATTCAAGCACAAACTTTCAGAAATTCCCAGTGCAACCACTTGGGACATGCTTAATTCCTCCTGCAGAATGTTATGACATGTTTTCACTAGGGAAGCTTATCTGAGCCTAGATGTCCAAATCTTTTATTAGCAGTCACTCCTGTTGACACCCTTTACTTATCATATACCAAGTTCCAGATTCCCCAAAGAAAAGCACATAGTCATTATAAAACATTTTGTTTGCTCTAGCAGTTTGGCCAGAGAATAATGGGAACTTTAACTGACAGTTTCCCAGGTGTCAACACCAACAATCTTAGCCCTATAATATTTTATCCTTGTATAATAAGAATCCACTCTTGATGGGGGAGAATGATGGAAGGACACTGGTTAAGACATCCTACACATGAAATGACATGTTGAATTGAAACTTTGTACAACTATCTATAGATGGCAGAAAATACATTTATTGTTAAAAATCCACTCTTACTATTCCTAGTCAACATTGTACTAGAAGTTCCAGCCAAGGCAGTTAGAAAGGAAAATGAAGTAGATATCCAAATTATAAAGGAAGAAGCAAGGGTGTCTTTATTTGCAGATGATGTACTTTTGTTAAAAGAAAAAGTCTATGAAAAGTAAAAATAAAATTAAGAAAACAGTTATATTTACTATTGTTATCTAAAGGGATAAAATAGAAATTAGTTACATGACTTGTGCACTGAAAGCAACAAAAGACTTGAAAACATTAAAGGAGAGGTTGGAGGCATGCTTCCAACCTACTGCCAGCCAATGAGCAAAAGTATCAAATACCACGTTTGAACCTTTAATAAAAAAAAACATTAAAAAACACCAAAACAAATGAGAATCCATTCCATGTTTACGGATTAGAAGAGTTAGTATTAAAATAATTCTCCCCAAATTGTTCTGCACATCTAGAGTCTATAATTACTGTCAAACCTCACCTGTCTCTTTTGCAGAAATTGACAAATTAATCCAATCCCTAAATTAATATTGAAATGCACACCTATTAGCCTGGCCATATTTAAGAAAATAGACATAGTAAATGTCTAAGTCTAAATGACTAAGATGTGAAATTGTAGCTACTGTTGGGAATATAAAATAGCAGGGAAACGAAGAATTTGACCCTTCCTCAAAAGTTATTTTGTTTGTTTTCCAGTCCTGGGATTTGAAGTCAGTCCTGGGCTTTATCCCTGAACTTCTTTTGCTCAAGGCTAGTGCTCTATCACTTGAGGCTTTTTGGTAGTTTAGTGGAGAGAAGAGTCTCATAGACTTTACAGTCCAAGCTGGCTTTGAACTGCAATCCTCAGGGCTGAGCCTCCTGAGTAGCTAGGATTACAAGGGTGAACAACTGGTGCCCATCTTCCTTCCTCAAAAATCTAAGCACACAGTCTAAGCAATTTCATTTCTAGTTATCTTTCTAAGGCAAATATAAATGTGTTTACACACAAAACACTTGTACACTAATATTTTATCATTATTGATAAGTCAGTAGAAACAACCCAGTCCATCAGCTAATGAATGAATATACAAAATGTGATATGTACATATCACATAAAAAGAAGTGTATTATTGGTGAGTGTTTGGAGAAAAAAATGATTGCAAAACAGTTATGTCTATATGTATAATTCTATTCATATGAGATATCCAGAATAGGCAAATTTGTAGGACCTAAAAGTAGATTACTGGTTAGAGGCTGATAGGAGAGGAGTGAGTCTAGTAACTGCTAATAGGTATGAGGTTTCTCTTAGGAGTAAGGTGTACATCTCTAATAAATTTTGAAATGGCAGATTTTATGATATGTAAATCATCTTGTGGTATGTGAATAGTTATTTTTAAAATAAAAGAATTCCTGCTCTAAACCATTGGAATGTGAAGCTGACAAAATATCACACCTTTGATATATTAAGTGACAAATAGATTATCTGGTGAACCTAATCAGAGGAGCCCTATAAAACAGAGTGTTAATAGGAAGGGAAGTCAGAGACTTGAAGCATGAAAAAAATAGGTAGGACTACATGGCAAGGAATACAAACTGAATGTAGCCCCTACCAACAGCAAAGAAGGAAATGAATCCTTCAGGTATGCAACCACAAGGAATTCTGTCAAAACAGGAATGAGCTTGCAACTCCAAACTCCAGATGAAAGTACAGCTGACACCTGATAAGCCAGTATAGCTGGTGTAAGGATAGATCAATGATTTCAGCCTAAGCAGAAAACCCAGTCATATTGCACCAGTTCAAGCTACAGAACTGCTAATTTGTGATGTTTATTCAGCAATAGAAAACTAATTCCTCCAAATCCTTTAAATAGAGCAAATGATATACATAAAAAAGAAACACCGTATGGTGTATACACAATTATAAAAGATGAGAGTGGAGAAATATGTTACAACAAATATAATTGGTTGTAGATCATCTGCTAATTAGAAAAAGACTTAAATCTGGCTCAAAAGCCTATTTGTTGTTTCCAAAAGCATACCTAAGGTGAACTAGTTGGATCAGTTTGCCTTACAAGTTAGCAAATAAGATAGACTTAATTCCCTAGGGTTCCTTGTGCACAATAATACACTGAGAAAGTAGTACTCCTAGGGATAATTTCTAACACTGATCAACAAGAAAAGACATCAGGTATAATCTAGGGAATACACATACGTACTAAAGTTTGTCTAACTGTGATTGGTACCATAGGATATATTCCTTTCTTAATCAGTGAAATGTATCAATTATTTCTCCCTGAGGAAGTTAGCTTAAGACTCTGATCACAATGGCAAAACAGTTGGCCCTATCTATGAGAGTTTCAGACTCCCAGAAAGATGGCATGTGTTCAGTGTATTTTATAGAAAACAGATGGTTGGATCTTGCCTTTTGATCCAACTATCCAATCTATATGTTTGATTGTTCGAATTGAGAAGTATGTGCTAGATTGTATTTTTTTACCTCCAACTGTGATGTTGTGTCTCTTCTGTTCTTCCTGTGTTTATTTGTTCATCCGGTAGGATCTCTGTTTTCTCTGTCTCTCTCATGTTCATGTTGATCTTCTGTACGCAGCATGTTTTTGAGTACTTTCTGGTGTGCTGGCTAGGTAGTAATAAATTGTTTTAGTTTTTGTCATAGTTTTTGTCCTTCATGTATAAATGAAAACCTTGCTGGGTATAGTATTCTCAGCTGGCAGCTGTTCTCCAACAGCTTCTTTTCTGATTTGGTCTGTTGGGTGTTCTAAAAGCCTATTGTATCTAGTTGTATCTAGTTGGGCTTCTCCTGTTAAAGATTTGGGGAGTTTTCTGGTATTCTTCTCCTTTTCAAGATTTGGGGAGTTTTCTGGTATTCTTCTCCTTTTCAAGATTTGGGGAGGTTTCTGGTATTCTGTTAACTATATTTCCTATAACTTCAGCTGACCACTCTTCTCTTTCCTCAGTACTTAGCCACAAATTTAATCTTTTAATTGAGTCCTGAAGTTCTTTTCATACTACTTTCCTGCCTTCTGGACTTTTTTGTATGTTTATTTCTTCCCTCTCTATTATTCTTCAAGCCTAGAAACAATGTCTTCCATGCTATCTGTTCTGCTGTGGGAGCTTTCTAGTTTGGTTTAATCGTTCTTCAGGATTTCTATT